GCCTCGTCCAGCACCACCACCCCGTACTGCCGCAGCAGCGGCTCCGACGTCATCTCCCGCAGCAGCATCTCGTCTGAGCAGAACCTGAGACAGCCCCCACCCATCAGCATGGACCCCTGGCTGGGGGGACACCTCATCCCTCCCCAGAGCAGCCCCCTCCCCATGTCCCAGATTGCCAAGCAATGTGTATCCTATTTGCTCCTCCCGCTGTGGTGTACTGTCACCACACTGTCACCATGCCACACGACTTCCCTGGCATTTCTCCTAGATTGCCAAGCAATGTGTGGATCCTATTTGCTCCTCCTGTTGTGGTCACCATGTCTCGGTTTGGAAAGCCAGATGTGTGTTAAGGAAGGCAGGAGCCTCCCCTGAAATGGAGAATGTAAACCTTCCCTACTCTGAATTGCTAAGAATTTAAAATAAAGGGGCTCTCAGGCAAAAAGATATGGTAGCAGGAAATAACAGTTCTTTGATAGGGAAGAAAATAAAAGGATAAAATAAACAATGCAGTAAACCAAAACAACACTGACAGAGTCAGAACCCAACCTGACACCCTGTGGGTCAGGGTGTTGGTAGCAGTCCCATTGGAATTGTGGCTGCAGCCCTCCTGAAGTGTCAGTGTGGTTCTGCTGGAGCAGGGATCCTGTAGAAGGGATCAATGGAAGAGGCAGCTGTTGTTCCTCTGGGAAATCCAGTGGAGAAGCTGTGCTGGCGTCCCAGGATCTCCAGATCCTATCCAGGTAGCAATGCTTGGCTCCTCCCAATGGGCGGAGCATCTCCGAATGGGATGCTGCAGTTCTTATCAGCCATGCAGTGACATTCAGTGGCTGTTATCAGCAGATGTCCCCTCCCGAGGGAGGAGTGATTGTGGAAGAGATAAGGCAAACTGCCCACTTGACAAAAGACAACTGGAACACAGATGGTGACAGAATTCATCTTGCCTTGCAATCTGGGACACAGCACACTGTCACCATGCCATGCACCTTCCCTGGCATCTATCACACACTGCCAAGCAATGTGTGTGTTCTGCCATCTGTTAGAGGTGGAGCAGTTATCTTCTGTTCCTTGGGCAGTTTTCTTTATCTCTTCCACAGCCAATCCTCCCTCCAGGACAT